TCTTACAGACCAGATATGCATGGGCATATCCATATGCCCCATAGGGGGCAAAGAGGTCGTTACATTTATGATTTAGGGAAGTTTCAAGCAGCTATGAATTGCAACAGTCAGCTTTGATGTGCAAAAAAAAAGGCCTGTTTTTTTAAAATCAACCAAACTCAATCTGCATCTCTATTCCAAAGGGCTGGGAGGGAAGTTACTATCTTTGGTCCACACTAACGAATGATGTCAAAGCCCCTGAAGGCCTCAGGGGTGCAGGGCTGTCTGCTCCCACACCAAGCTGGGGGGGAACCATCATTATGCTGGGACTGGCGGTCTGCTACGTTCCCAGCGAGCCCATCTCTCCTCGGGTCATTGTTACCACCGTCTAGCAATCATTTCCGGATTCCTGGGTGTCACCCCACATCTTCTACCATCCTGTCCCCTCCTCACTCCCAGGCAATCTACTGTCCCTATTATTCACAGGAGAAATGTAATCTGCTTTTTCCCCATACGGTACTATTAAACAAGGTAACAGAGCTGTGGTTAAATCACTTTCCTTATTTGAGCAGGTTGTGTCTGGCATAAAAGTAATTAAAAATTTATATCCTGGGGAAAGAGTCAGACCAGCACAAGTTGATTCTGTTCAAGACCTCTGACAAATGGTAATTTAGTAGAAATGACTTTGTTTTTCTCGTCCTCAAAGATAATGTTCTCTTGAGCCAGTCCTACAAGACATTGAAGCAATTACCATGACCATTAAACCAGCACACGCTGCTAAACTAGATACCTGAACAAAAACTAAGTTTTGACATTTTGTCCTTTGCTTTCAAAATGACAAAGTAACACCCATACAATAGACAGGATAGTGACGCAGTTATTCTCTTATGATATTAAAAACTGTAAACTAAAAATGTATGCAGGTATAGGAGTCTCTCAAAGGCATGTTTTGTGACAACACGAGCCTAGGTCTCTACACCTTTCCCCCGACTGGACAGGCAAACAGCTTGCGGTCACACCCCTGTGCACAACTCGCAAGTATCCGTCACATTTTCAGTCTTACTTGCGTGTTCCAAAGTCAGCCAACTACACAAGATGCTTACAAGGGTGACGGTTTCCTGTCCTGAGTAACTTTTTCCCCTCTTTTTAGTAAATTTGGTCCCACAGTATTTAGAGGCCAGAATTTAAAACATGTGCACAGTATTTAGCTAGCCAAATTAATTTTAAGGAATTTTAACTTCATGAAAGTTAAATGTAAGCAAAGGTCACAAACTATTTTTAACTGTCGACCTCTAAAAATGAGGAGAATTTCACATGAGCATCTCAGACTTACCCTCTTCCCTCTGTGACAATTAGCTGGAGCTGACAACTGATGTCCACGGTAAACAGGGTACGAGGTCTCCAGTCCCCACCGCCTCTGGCTCCGCCGTGGTCTGAGGCCAGGAGTGGGTGGCCGTTTACTAAGTCAGCCTGTGCTGCTCTGCTTCTCATGTAGCAGGGCTGAGAAAGCTCATCACGGCGGGAAAACAGAACAGGTGAGACAAACGGGAGACAGTAAACGAGCAAAAAAGAACTATCTCCAGGTGTTTAATATGTAAATAAACAATGTGCCTTAAAAAGACAATTATTCCATAATCAAACACACTCCTGGCTGCTTCACTGATTTATGTTATACGCTTGGTTTCTGTATGCATTTTACATTGTTGACTTCGAGATTCTCAATTATTTAGAATTACTTTTGGAAAAGCCTAACTTACCTGATTTTCACTGATTTTCACTAGCACTTCCCGTTAGAGAGCTGTAACACATAAATCAAATTGATCATTTTCATATTTTGTCCAAAACTGGAGAAAGGGTTTATTGGAAAAAGAAGTCCAAGTGAAGTGAGCTGGTTTCTCTCGTGCGTTGCAGCTAGCAATGCTTATACCTGAGCAAATGAAGGAGGCCTTGAGGACAGAAGCAAAGTGGCATTTCCAGAAACGGAGTCTTCAATGGGCTCCTTTGCTTGATAAATGTTCTAACCTTTTGGGAAGTTCTAGATTTACAGCTTCAAAACTGACCACATATACTTGAGGCCTCAGCTAAAAGTTCAGTCCCTAGCACCAAACCTTCAAGACAGGATAATGTTAAAAGTCCCACATGAACCCCAAGATTACAGGATTGTTCTACGAAAGGCCTTTTTTATAAGCAAAGGTTTTTAATAGATCACAAAAATGAGGTAATTTCAGATCAAAGACTACTGTTTGGAATCTAGACTCCCAACAGAGCTTTCATTTTGTCAAGTTAATAAAGATTTTATTAAACAAATTAGTAAAACCTGAAACTATACTTCGAAGACTAAATCTTATATTCTAAATTTAGTATATAACAGTACAGGTTTTATTTTATTATTTTTATTTTTTTTTTTTTTTTTTGAGACAGAGACTCCCTTTGTTGCCCAGGCTAGAGTGAGTGCTGTGGCATCAGCCCAGCTCACAGCAACCTCAAACTCCTAGGCTCAAGCAATCCTGCTGCCTCAGCCTCCCGAGTAGCTGGGACTACAGGCATGCACCACCATGCCCGGCTAAGTTTTTCTATATATATTAGTTGGCCAATTAATTTATTTCTATTTATAGTAGAGACGGGGTCTCGCTCTTGCTCAGGATGGTTTCGAACTCCTGACCTCGAGCAATCCGCCCGCCTTGGCCTCCCAGAGTGCTAGGATTACAGGCGTGAGCCACCACTCCCGGCCAACAGTACAGGTTTTAAAATAAGCTATTATAATGAAAGGATATAATTTAGCAATTAAGATGGGTAGAAGGTATTTTAAAAGACTTGAAAAGGAATCTCTCCTAGTAACAGGCGTGACACACTGATGCACACTGTCGCTCCCAAGTATCCTGCCATCCCACTCCACTAGCTTAAATGCACCATGGCCTCACACCCAACTGGATAAGGATCAGGGAGCTACGAGCTAAGGGCTCACAGGTGGCTCTCTATTGCCCGAGTAGCCAGGGCAGGACTGCTGCAGTACTGACCCCTCCAGCTCTGCGTCTGGGACCTGGCTGTCATGCCAGACTCCATGCTCGATTCCCACTTCCCAGTTGGACACCTGGACCTCCCACACTGTACTGTTTCATGGTGACACTCTACACTCTGACATCTCCACAATTCCTTGGTCTAGTCTGGAGCAGCTGTGTATGGGCATTTGGGGATACCCCCACCCCAAAGTCTGCTAGCTGACATCATCACCCCTGCCTTCCTTCTCCACCGTGCAGGAGTGGGAAAGTGCTCCCCGAAGGTGCACCCTGGCCTCCTGGCGCCCACCCTCGGGAAGGAGGGAGGCACGGGGAGAGTGGCTCCCACTGTTGGCCTAGCACACCTAGGAATTCGTATAAACTCAGGCATGCTGATCTTAGAACTTCTAACTGAAAAATGTAGGGTTATTTCACACTTATTAGCTTCTATCCCCAATAAGGAATCAGTAAGTGAAGCAACTGAACATTTATTTCCACATAACTGTGAAAATGTCAAACATGTACACAGAAAGAGGATCAAACCCAGAGGTCAGAGCCATGGACTTTCACAGGAAACGTCCTTGAGCGAACAGACGTCATCCTGCGTAAAGCGGCATCTTGGCCTTTACTGGAAATGAAAGGCAGCAAAACTGGTTATTCAAAAGTTCTTAAATAACTAGTTTTTAGTCTGTTATTAAAAAGGCCACATTCATTGTCAAAGGGATAAATTTTAGGTTTGCATTCTTCCACCTACTCTTTCTGTATTTGCTCTTTTCTAAACATGGTGGGCTGTGGCTCCCCTTAACTCTGAACCTACACAGAACCCATTCCTATCTCCCTGTGAAGACGACACTCCCGGTAAGCACCAGGAATGAATGTCTCCTCACCTTGGTTAGGCATGGAACGTAATAAAGAGTCCTGTGTATAGGGCAGGGTCACTCCTTAGCTGACACATCTAAGGACAATCAGAAGTGGGCAATTGGAATTTCTCTGTCCTGACTTCATTCTTTAGAATTCTCTAGAATTAAAACTCTGATATACACAGTTCCCATTCTAAACAATTTGTAATTTTACTGAAGTTGAAAACATACCATTATTTCAGCAAAAACTGATACATAGCATCTACATTATGAAAGGACTAAAGTACTAAAAGATTGAGCTAGTTAATTCATTAAGCTTTTAAAGATCTCGACCTTATTTCTATTATTAGGTCTTTTATCTTCAAACCAAGTCTTTAGTGGATGTAATATAATCTCATCGTAGGTGTAATATGAGTACAAGATGTTCACTAAAATGCATCAAAGACCGAAGAAAGAGTTTGATTTTAGGTCAGTCTTTTCATTTGGTAACAAGAGTAATTCCATATATAGAAAACAGATTCTCAAATTTCAAAGGTTTAAAGTTTCATTAGAAAAACTGTAACATAATTAAAAAAGTACTCATCAAGAATAATGGCATAATTTCATTCATCAAATTCATTTAAAATATGAATTACAGTATAAAAAGAGAAATGACAACATGAAGTCTTATGTAACTAACTGATCTGCACGACCAGACCCTTAAAAGTAAACAGCACACCATATGGTTTTAATAAAAGGCAACTGCAGTTCAATTTCTAAGCTGTATTCTTAAGTTGAGGGTTTTCTATAATCTGTTTTACATTAAATTTTCTCCATAACAAGTTTAAAAGTGTACATCATTTCCTCATCCCCAAGTACTTTATTCCCCAAAATGTTTAAACCAGGTATCTCCGTTGTTGCCTCTGTTACTTTATTTTGCTAAGGAATATGTAACTACTTTGAAGATTGATCCAAGTTCATGTCCACACCAGAGTTCTAGCCCTAGGATATTTGTCCTCATTTGCTTCTTAGGAAACAAGATTAAAAGTCGTATGTAGCTACACATTTAAGACTGAAAAGAGAAGCCTACCCCTTTTTATTGTTTCATCAAGAAAATCTTAAAACCCTGACAGCAGCTTATCACTGTTAGGTGCGGAGCCGAGAGGGAGACACAGGAAGCCTCAGGTTTAGCAAAATGCTGTTTATTTGAGCATCGTGGGTGGAGGTCGAAAAAGGCGTCCACCCCCGGAAGGGGAGAGCGGTGGGTTTAATAGAGGGTTTTTCTGGGGGGGAGTAACTGGACGGGAACAGTCACTTGTAATAAATTCTTTTTCAAACCACCAGCTCCTAGGACCCCTGCCTCAGTCACATCTACCCTGCAGCCCCGGCACTGTCACTCTCCTTATCAGGAGAGAGAGGGACAGACTTGTCCTTGTAGGGGTGGCGGGGGCAGGAAGGAATGCAAGCTCCCCTTTTGCATTCCACTCCTTTATCTCCCTAGGGGCCTGGCAAAGGCTACTGCCTAACAACCATCTGTCCCAACTCCACTCTGTCAAGGCTCCAGGACGGCTCCCCACATTTGACAGCAGCGGCAGGAAGTGCGTTACCAACCCCGAGGGCACTAGCGCGATACCGCAGATGGGATCTTCTCCCCCTTCAACTACTTCTAAAAACCAAAACCTCTGTCATTAGTTGGAATCTGTCAGACCAGAGTCAGTCTCTGGAGATGAAGTTACTAGCGTTCCATTCTGCTCATGCACATGACAAAAGGCCGAATACTCATTTATCCTGAACAGAACTAGACGGTGTGTGACAAGTGCCAGGGAGGTTGACTAAGATAGTCCTGCAGTTCAGAGAAACCAAAGCAAAGGTGCAAGCTTGATTTGTGCTCTAAAGTAAGTTTCCCACTTGAAATGCAAACTACAATAAAGAAGGTTAGAGGGGCATTATCAGGATCAACGTGTCCACAACTATCGAGGTGGAAAGCCGCCTCTGTGTGCTCCCCCACGGCCCCCTCTAAAACCACCCCTTTCTCCTCGGAAGTTAGAGCGGTTTCTTTCTCGACCACGGCCAGCGGAAGTTCCACCTCGTCCTCCGCCTCTGGGCGCTCCACCTCCCCGGTCAGATTTAGATTTGGGAGGAGGGGATTTGGGTCGAAGTCTCTCAATTTCTTCTGTACATCCAGTCAGGTAGGAGTTCGGGGCACTGAAGTAGGACGCGTATGTCTCTGCATTGTAGTTGCTGTTTGTGAGCGTTGGTCCCACTGTGAGCCAACCTGAAGTGGAGGGGAAAAGATTATTCTTTTTATTTGCAATTCTCTCTTATCTTAGATCTTGTAGGGACTAGTTCAAATCCCCAGTGCATTCTTAAAGATGTCCCTATCACTCATCCAATATTGATCTCTTTCACAGAATGCATGGCGCTTAATCACGGTCATATTTTAAAGATGTCACCTGTATATATCTTATTTCTCCTCCTAGATTGTAACTTTTGTAATATATCCTCCTCGTTGTCCCCATCCATGTTCTCTTGATATCTTTTGTGAAAATAGCACTTAGAAAAAACTATTACACATTCATTACACTGAGTTTGGGCTCAGTGAAAATTTATTAAATGATATATAATCTTTCTACTTACGGAAATGGTACCATCATTTTCTAGTTAATATCTTGGAACCAACTTTTGCTCTATTCTCCCCAACCACAAAATACTCTCAGTTGATATGTCCTAGAAACTCAGCCACTGCCGTGTTGCCCCTAATCATCCCCATCTTTTCATTTCTACTGCCACCCTCAAACTTAAACCCTTTTCTACGAGGCCAGCCCCTGCCATACCACACACATGTAACACACACACATGTATATTGTCATGATCTCCCAACCTTTAGTTTCTCTTTCCTCTAAAAGTGACAAGTCTAAAGCAAAGCTCATGTCACTTCCCTGCTCAAACACATTCTAGGGCTTTACACAAAGCCCAAATTCATAAATACGGACTCTATGATCTTGAACTAACTTTCCAATCACATTTCTCATTCATGCTTTCCATGAACCTTCGTTTAGGTAAAACAATGACCTTCTACAGCGGCTGCTTTCTACTAACCTCTACTTTTGTGCTTGTATTATTTTCTTTTCTATCCAGCCAACCTATTAAAAATCTCACCCTTCAGCATCCAATTCAAATATACTTTTTACATGAAATGAAAATTATTTCTCTCTTCTCAGAATTTCCATATATAGAAAAAAAAATTAGCCGGGCATGGTGGCGCATGCCTGTAGTCCCAGCTACTTGGGAGCTGAGGCAGAAGGATTCTCTGAGCCCAGGAGTTTGAGGTTGCTGTGAGCTAGCTGATGCCACAGCACTTACGCTAGCCTGGGGCAACAAAGTGAGACTCTGTCTCAAAAAAAAAAAGACATAATGTATAACCTAAGGTGGGTAGAGTGACCATAGATAATTGGATGAAGAACCCCACTGAAAATTAAATTATAAATAAAAATTGGTATGGAGCAAATCTCATTTAGTTGCTTCTTATGCTTATACCTATAACTACACTTCATAATTATCTATTCTCTCCTAGGTTCTTCTACTCATTTAAAAAAATTAATAGAAATCATTAAAATGATGCTAGAAAGCCATTAAAATGATTATGAATAATTATTTAAAATGTAGAAAATATCTGATATAATACTGATAGGAAAACTACAAAATGATGACAATTATATAAAAATTTGTATGCACAGGGACTAGAGGGTATTATGTAAAAAATTAAAAGAATTCTTGGAGGTAGTGAGATCGACTCTTTTTTCACCTTTAAAACTTTCCTACACACCTTTAAAACTTTCACCACAAAACTTTCCTAAATGTTGTTACATTAACTTTTCAATTATTAAAAGATTACCATCTAATGTTTGCATTTACTCTTCAAATAGTTTTGTTTTTATCTTAAGTTTTTTGCTTCCTTAAAACAGCAGTTGCCACTGGAGACTGTTCCTATATTCGGGAGCTATGTTGGGGCAGGACAGATTAATGACGGAAGAGACAAATCTGTTCCTTATTTACTAAAATAAAGAACTAGGGCCATAATCTCGATATTCAACATATACGGACGCCCATGCTTTCTGAATAAACACACTCCTCCAGTGAATATCCAGTGATATTAGTTTCTCTTAAGCCACTGAAAAGGAAATATTTGCTTGTCACAAGCTCTGCTGCCAAAATATTTTTACTTGGATAAGAGAGTATAATCATCCACAAAACTTCCAAACAAGATGTTCATATATAGTTGCAGAATTCGTAACAGTTCAAAGTTCATTCTATGGCTGTATATATATATAATAACATATGCATGATCTATATGTATATTGAGAAAAAAATGGTTTTGAAAAAATTAAGAAAATTATAAAGAATAAGCCATATCATTCTCACCCTTTAAAAATTAATACTATTTTAACTTAGACTTTAATAATTCAAGTATGCAAGCTTCAATCTCCAAGATAACCAATGAAAGAACAATAAAAGAACAGCTAACAAGCTAATGAAAACAACAAATGGAATAATAAAAGAATAATTAATTGAGCCAAAAGAAGTCAGAGAAAAAGGAACACGGAATAGGTGGTGCCAACATAAAGCAAATAGTGAGATGGTAATTTATGCCCAAATATATCAGGAATTACATTAAATACAGATTGACTAAACAGTCCAACTAAAAGATAAATATAAACTGAATGAAAAAGCAACCATGTATTTAATCACAAGAAGTACACCTTAAATGTAATGACACAAAAACTGAAAGTAAGAGGATGGAAATAATATGCCACATAAACACTCATCTAAGAAAGCTGGAATAGCTACAATAATATCACATGAAAGGAAACTTAAGGCAAAAAACATTGGATAAGGAACATTTTGTAATACTAAGAGGTCAATCTACCAGGAAGGCATAAAAATTCTACATTTTATATGTACCTAATAACAGAGCCTCAAACAGATATAAATAAAAAACTGTCAACTAAACAAAGAAAACCACCATAATATATTTCAACAAAATAGTTTAAAAATATCAGTAGAGATAATGGATAATCTAAACAGCCCACAATTAAATACTATAAACAAAATTAAAGTATACATTCTTTTCAAACAGACTTGGAACATTTATTAAAACTGAGTCATAAAGTAAATCCTAACAAATTACAAAGAAGTGAAATCTTACAGTATATGATATTTGACCACAATATTAGGCCAAAAAACCTAATACAAAATAACTGAAACAACACAACAGTGAATAACCAATGGATTAAATATGTAGTCACAAGGAAAAATTGCATGAAATACTTTGAAATGATAAAATACCAGATGTCAAACTTTTGGAACGCAATAAAGTTGTGCTCAGAGAAATCTAGACTCTAAATATAATATTACGATACAAAAAAGCTGACATCAATAATCTAAACATACTTCAGATAAAAAGATAACAAGTAAACTCAAAGAAAGCAGGAGGAAGAAAACAAAAAATAAGAGCAGAAATTAATTAAATAGAAAAACAGTGTATACCAAGAATGGGAGAGACAGACACAAACAGGGATAAAGTACTGGCAAATAAACATATCTGATAAGGGACTGCTATCCAAAATATACAAACTAACCTTAAACCTCCAACAATAAGAAATAATACTAATACAAATTGGGCCCAAAGAGCTTAATACAAAGACACCCACCAAAGCACGACATGCAGACTGCCAAAAAAGGCATATAACAAATAGCTCCACATCATATGCCATCAGGGAAATGCAAAGCTAAGAACAAATGAGCTATCACTACAAACATCTATATGGCCAAATCCAGAACTTCCTCAACTTCACACAAAAATGCTGGTGAAGATGTGGAGCAACAGGAATTCTCACTACAGATAAAAATGCAAAATGGTACAGGCACTTTGGCAACTTGAAAGCAACCAAGATGCCCTTCACTAGGTAAACAAATAAATGGTGGTCCATCCAGACAACGGGATACTATTCAGCACTAAAAAGAAATGAGCTATCAAGCCATGAAAAGACATGAAGGAACCTTAAATGCATATTACTAAATGAAAGAAGCCAATCTGAAAAGACTATATCCTGTATGATTTCAACTATATGACATTTTGGAAAAGGGAACATTATGGAATCGGCAAAAAGATCAAGTGATTGCAGGAGGTGAGGGGAGGAAGGGACAAGTAAGTGGAGCACGGGGGATTTGTAGGGCAGTGAAACTACTCAGAATGATGCTATAATGGTGGATACATGTCAGTTTACATTTGTCTAAATTCAGGGACTGTACAACACCAAGAGTGAATCCCAGTGTAAACTACAGACTTTGGGTGATTATGACGTGTTAGCGCTGTTCCATCAATTGTAACAAATATGCTGTTACGGTAGGGGAGATTGATAAATGGGGGAAGCTATGCATGTGAGGGCACGGGGCTAACTAGGAAATCTCTGTACCTTCCTCTCAATTTTGCTGTGAACCTACAACTGCTCATATTTGAAGTACAGAAAAAAAAATCAAATACTTAAGAATTTTATTTTACATAGCAGTGTGTCCTGCTTCTTGACACCCATATCCCAAGGAAGCAAGAAGTGGATTTTTTTTTAAACTGAGGTCCTACCTGGTCTAATTGTACTGTCTCTTCCAAATAGATGAAGGCGTCTTCTCCCAAGACAAAAATGCTCAATTATATGAAAAATTTCTACAGGTTTTTCTATATTGCCAATTTCAGGTTCTTCTGTGATAATTAAGTCAATGTCAACATTAGCATGAATGAAGTCCCCGTCCGTGCTGCGCTTCACGGTGCCTTTGATCCCCATGAGGCAGTGCTCCTAAATAACAAGAACAGACAAATTACTCTCTTTCCATCAACAGTCATATTTCACAACATTTAAAATTTTATGTCCTCAATTCCAAAACAATCCTCATTTCTCTGACTCTTTGATACACAGTTCTATGGGCAAAAACATGATAGGAAAACCCAGATCTCTGGATGAGTAAAGATTGCCATGTAAATAAGAAAAACAGTTTCTCCTGTATTTTCACAACACTCAATAAATACTTCAGAACACTTCATTTCTTATGTCAGACATGTATGGGTTTTTCCACTTCTGTACCAACACTGTAATTCAATTCTATTCTGCCACTACCTATCTCGGTAGTGCAGACCCCATGCATAGGTCAAGAGCTTAGTCACATCAGACTGCCCTTCACTGCAGATGTCAATCACAAGTCTATGTTGTCACTCATGATTCTGACTGACAGGTTATAAATCAGAGGTTCCCACAACCCCCTCCTTGGGATAGATCATTTGCTAAAGTAGCTCATGGAATTCAGGAAATCATCTGACTTACTACTACCTATGTATTATAAAAGGATCCAACTCAGGAACAGCCAGATGGAAGAGATACATAGGGCATCTCTCTAGGAAGAGAAGGGGGTCGGGGAAGATATGGGGGAAGACACAGGGAGCTTTTATGCCCCCTCCAGGCAGACCACCCTCCCAGCAATTCCACAAGTTCACTATCCCAGAAGCTCTATAAACACTGCCATTTTGGAATTTTATGGAAGCTTCATTACATAGGCATGATTCCAGTTCAAGAAAGATTTAATAAGAAAGACCTTCCCACCAACAGCTCCCTAAAGAGTAAAGAATAAAAACTGTTAAAGCCTGATACTAGCAGGGCAGAGTCATATTAAGCAAAAGTTCTCAGGGATTCTTATATAGGAAAAAGGGAAGAAGAAAGAAATATATCTCTAAGCTGGACAGCTATGAGTCTTGCTGCCATCTTCTTTCTGAGCCTAGAGAAAGGGAAAAATTAAAGGGGTCAGAGGTATCAAAAGTCCATAGCTAACTTAGAAATATGGCAATTGAGGAATACAGGAATATATACTCCCCTCTCCAGCACAATGGGGGCTGATCTAAGATAGTGGCTAAAATATTTTTAAACTAACTTGGATATATTCCTGTAATGCTCAATGCTGTTTTTACAGGACTCAGAAAAGGGCCTTCCCACCAAAATTAATTGAACTGATACAGTGATTTGGAAAAGTTTGATAGAAAATAATGAAAATTAAAAAAAAACAACAATAAAGGTAATACCTTTGTTCTCTGAAAGACAGCCTTTGGATCTAAAGTCTTAGTCTTCCCAGGATTGTTTTTATTGGTTTTAATCCAACAAATATCTTCACATCTTCTGTAACCCCACTTTCGTAAACACTAGACATAAAATTAAGAAAAGAAATCCTTAACTTAATGAAATAAACAATACTTAAAATAACCAACTAGCATTAAAAAACTTTCTAGAGGTTTAAGACACTAAATTCCAAAGTGTCACAGTAATTTTGTTCTAATACACAGCTATAATACAGAATGCATATATACCTTTTGGATATTAATATAATTTATATAGTTAAATATCAAAACAGAAAGGATTATGCAATATCTCAATTCTTTAATGCTACCTTTCCTTGTCATCGATACTGGGTTTTAAATTATAAGAAAACACTCAGACCCTGTTATCACAAAATAGTCCAAAAGACAATTTGATTCCTGCCACCTCAATTTTCTATCCTCTAGTGAAGCTAAACACTGTTGAAAATTTTCTAACTGATAACTTCTTTTCAAATGACAGTCCTTTAAAACTGTATTTCTATATTTAATACTAACAACTACAAAAAGTTCTGACTTAAAATTACTATGTATACCTTATTGGGTAAAATTATACTTTCACATTTTATAAAATCTAGAAAGCAGAGATCTAGAACCTGTTATATGTAAACATACAACAAACACTAGCTAAACCATTGCTGAGTGGCATTTTGAGGGCCTCACATATGCAGGTACTGGCTAGGTGCTATGAATAAAAACATGAATTAGATACAGTCCCTACCCCAAAGCCAATTTAAGAGTAAACTAAAGGAAAATAAGTAAATTGTATAGTATAATATTATTAGTACTATGATCAAGTACATATAAAGTACTTGACATAGTAGAACATAAAATATACAGACTTTTCAGGAATGCTTATCATGTAAAGTATGATACACCTCAAAATGAAAACTTAAAATCTCAAAGATCAAGATCAATATCTATTCCTGTCACTAAATATTTGTTTAGCACTAGTGTTCATTAATATTAATGCTCATTAACATTAACATTAGGTCATTAACAATGCCTAAATCCTACATGCCCTAATCTACTAATTTATCAAAAGCTCAAGAGTACTCCTCATGCTGACTTATTTTGTAATCATCTTTTGACCAAACTGCCTGCTTTGCACTAATATGATAAACTGCTGCATAAACCAGAAAAATACTAATCATTTTTCACTAATTCAGCTGGTAAAAGGAAAGACCAAAAGTCAAACATTCAGCAGCCAAAAACGGGATAAACTACCATATCAGTTCATACAACACCATCACATAAGTGAGTGTTTCCTTTCTCTTCTTGTTTTTCCATAGCCATCTGGGGAGCCACCACCAAAATAATGGAGATACCTGATTAAAATATAGTTATAGTTCTTACCCTTGAAGTTAATAAATGACGAAGCAATGATGTAACCCAACAGCCTCAAACTCACTATTTTTATAAAAAATATAAGGTAACTATATGGCCGGGTGCAGTGGCTCATGCCTATAATTCTACCTCTAGCACTCTGGAGGCCGAGGCAGGCGCTCTCGCGCTCTCTCGCACACTGCAGCGACGAACGCGTCTCTACAAAAATAGACACACTCTTCCACACTCACACACCACACTATATATCACAAACCAAATTAGCTTCGGGCACCTGCGGTCGCGCCACACTGCTGTCAAGTCCCCAGCTACTAGGGAGGCTGAGGCAGTAGGATGTGCTTGAGCACCAGGAGATTGAGGGTTGAGTTGAAACTAGGCTGACTCCAGGCGCACCACTCTAC